AGCCATCCCCACTGGACCCACCTGGGAAAACACTTTGCAGTCCAGAGGGGAGCAAATGACAGGAAAATATCTTCTAACAGAGCAAGAAGACAAGCAGCTTTAACCCAAGACCACCAGTAAGGTGATGAAGCATCCTCCCTTCCCCGCTTTACATCTACGCCCCTGTTCAGGATGAAGAAGCCAGAGAGTTGGCATCCAATTCCCAAATCAATAAGACAGTTGGTTTAATTACCATTGGGGGGGGAAAAAAAGAATCTGGATTTTATGAAGATGCATGTGCTATCAGGATCAGAGGAAGTCTCATCAATAACCTGACTTATGCAAATGGCACAACCTTGCTTGCAGAAACTGAGGAGAACTTGAACTAAGTGTTGCACAAGATCAAAGTCTACAGTTTTCAATATAAATTGTATCTCACTATCAAGAAAACAAAGGACCAAAAAGAAAAGTCTGCTGTCAGAGATCTCTACAGAATACTTAGGAACAAAGACTAAGGTGCATCTGATTCATGCTATGATCTTCTTAAACACCTGCAATGCAAGAGGGAGCTGGATGAATAAGGATGACAGAGGAAGAATTGATGCCTTTGAGTTGTGGTGCTGGAGAAGAGCACTGAATATCCCATGAACTGCCAACAGAACAAGCAGTTAGTTATGTCTTGGACAGAGTGTAGCCAGAGTGCTTCTTGGAGGCAAAGAAGACAATGTCTCATCTCTCATACTTTGGACATGTTGCTAGTTGAGACTATTCCTTGGAAAGAGACATCATGCTCAGAAAGATGGAGGCTCAGCAAAGGACAGGAAGACACAGTGACTCTGGCAATGGGCTCTAGTGTGTCAGAGATGATAAGGATGGCACAGGATAGGGCAGGATTCAGGTCTGTTGTTTAGGTCATAGGGTTGCTATGGCTTGTACTTGACTTTACAGCACCTAACAACAACAAGGCCACCGGCGCTCTTTTCTTTCCATAGGGAACAGATATATTTTAATGACCAGCCACCAGTAGCCGTGCTTAAAGTCTTTCAATCCTCTCTTCTTCCCTAAGAAGAAAACCCACATTCCCTAGTATGACACACTTAACCCTTCATGAGTCAACTCTAGCTTAAGCCTCTAACATCATTTCTTTCTTGATCTCTCTCTCAATTCTTGTCATCTCAAACCACCTGGGTAGATGGCCCATACCTTTCTGCCTCTGCATTCTCTTGTCTTGATCCTGATCATTCTTTTTTTGTAAATCAGATTAATTGAGATACAATTTACATACTATTCAGTTCATTCATATGAAGAATACAATTCAGTAGTTTCTAATATGTTCACAGCATTGTGCAATCACATTCCATTTTAGACATTTCTTTTTGATCCCCAATGTGAAGCTCAAATCCATCAGTGGTCACTCCCCATTCCCTTCTTTTTCTAGCTCCTGGCAACCCTAATCTACTTTCTTTCTCTAGTCTATACTGGACATTTCATACAAATACAATCTTATGATCTGTGGTCTTTTGTGACTAGGTTCCTTCACTTAGAATAATGTCTTCAAGGTTCATCCATATTGTAGTGTGCTTCTGTATTCCACTCATTTTTTTAAAGGGAGGACCATTTCCATTTCTTATTGAGCTATATAATTCACACATCATAAGAAAGATCCTTTTAATTATCCTTTTAGTGGATAATTCAGTGTTTTTTTAGTATATTCATAGACTTGTACAAATAGTACCACTATCTGTTTCCAGAACATTTTTATCACCCCAATAAGAAACCATAGCATGTCCTTAGCAGCCACTCCTCATTCCCCCTTATCCTCATCCCCTGACAGCCACAAATCTATGTTCAATCTCTCCAGATTAGCTTATTTTGTAGAATTATATGATATGTAACCTTTTGCATCTTTAATTTAGCCTGATATCTTCAAGATTCATTTCTATAATAGCATGCATCAGTACTTTATTTCCCTGATCATACTATCATAATTATGGTAAGAAAATACATAGACATGCATGTTTAAACCTGGATATTTCTCCTTATCTGCAAGGCCTCTCATCATAATAATGTCAAAGGGCTCCTTGATGTGGGCTGCTGTAACATTCCTTGGGATTATTTATCTTTCAGGTTGTAGCTATATGTTTACCTGTCCATGTCTTTGCCAAACAGTGAGAACCTTGATTTGGGGATGATGCCTAAGTCCTTGTAACCCCCACGTCTGACCAGCATACCCTGACTGCCCAAAAAAGCTTTCTTCAGTGAAAGAATTGTTGTCTGTCTCATGTTCTAACAGGGAATACTGTAAGATACTTGGTAGTGTTAATTGAGGGAGTATTCAATAAAAGTGGTGGATTATCCTTGGGGTGTGCATTGTGGTATGGCTAGGGTGGGAACTGTGGTGTGTGATGGGGTGGACACTGTGGTGTGGGATATTTTGCTTGTTAACTATTGATTGGTGGAAGATCTATCAACAATCTGTGTTATGCAGATGACACAACCTTGCTTGCTGAAACTGAGGAGGACCTCGTGCACTTACTGCAGAGGGTCAAGGACTGCAGCCTTCAGTATGGACTGAGGCTCAATGTCAAGAAGACAAAGATTCTCACCACTGGA